AGGGAGCCCGATGTGGGACTCGATCCCAGGACCCTGGGATCATGACCTGAGCCAAAGGCAGACGCTTAACGACTGAGCCACCCAGGCGCCCTATTATACCCATCTTTTAAGGAATACACCATTCTACTGGGTTAGTTGAAGCTGTCAGATGTAATTCACATGAGGATTCTTTGTCATTTACTTGTCCCTCCTGCTGCTTTGAGACCACAAACCTCTCAAACACCAGGACCACATTTGTCCCATCCTCGAAAGCTTTCCTGGAGAAGAGGAAAAGGGAACTGTTGATCTATTCCTATTAACTCTTATAAACACAAGAGCATACTGCTTTGCCTTTTGTTCTGCAGCAGTTGAAGTTTGCTATAGAAGTTCTTGATTCTATATGTACTGTTGCAGATTTGTGTGACCTTGATTCTACGCTGTTGAAAGTCAAACTCCATTTTTCTTGCCCCTTCAGCTTTTGTACTTCCATGTACGTGTGAACATAATTTGATGACATCAATATACCATTAAGCATGTGTATGGTAGAGTTTGACATGTGTGTGTGTTAGAAAAAAAAAGAAAAGAATATCCACCTCTCCCCTTTTCATCAAAAACTTTTTTTGTCTACGAAGTATTTTAACCTGGTTCCTTCCATTTTTTCGTTCTAGATTTCTAACTCAGTGCATTTATGGTTTGTGAAAACAGTACTTTCATTGGTTAGGCCAGAATATTCTTAGCTGGAACTAAAGTGGATAATAAAGAATTCACCATGTTAACTTTGTTTAGACATCCAAGAGTTCAGTGTGGTTTGATTTATGGGGAGAGACAGAAACTTAAAATGGGACAAGATGTTTTCTAGGTCTAAATTGGCTTCAGAATTAAGTTGATTGTGTATGCCCACCAGCTATACCTGTTGCCTTTCTAGAACATGTGTTTAGGTGGTTAATGACAAATCTTGTGAAGTGTACTAGTGCTATACAAGAAAATATCAGGATTTTTACTTATTCTAAAATAAATAAATTGTCTTCCTAAGATTAGTGACCTACGTAAGGACTGCATATCTACTGTTGGTATGCATTTACTCCACTTAGAGATCACTACAGTGAGTAGGACCTAGTGTCTTCACACCACATGAGAGTAACCTGGTAATACCATGATTTTTAATAAACTGTGCTTCTGTGGGACCTTGTTCTTCTTAAAACCTAAACTGGTAGGTGAGTTGGTGACCATCTTGGGTATATGTGTTGCGTACTCCGAAAGGGTAAAAAAGGTTTAATGCCAGTGCGTTCCTGAAAGGTTGAATTGTATCTTTGCGCATCTCTAGGGTAAGTAGAAGATAACCATTAACAGAAACTTTTTTTTTTCCATGATGCAGGGGTTACACTGGTCATCGATGTTAATCAGTGTTTGGATAAAGAAAAGCCAAGTGATATTTTGTCTGTTTTGAAGTCTTCTATGTCTAACACAAATGACATAATTCCTGAATGTGCTGACAAGTACTATGATGCCCTTGCAAAGGCAAAAGAGCACAAATCTAAAAGTGGTAAGCTTTTTAGTCATTTAACACCAACTAAATGTCATTTTGAATATGACGCTGTCTGTAGTATTGTATTAATTTTAAGACAAATACTGCTTTAAAATGAACATTTCTAAAATATTTTTTTGTCTCGGGCTTCTGGGTGGCTCAGTCGGTTAAACGTCTGCCTTCGGCTCAGGTCATGATCCCAGGGTCCTGGGATCGAGCCCCGCATCGGGCTCCCTGCTCAGCGGGGAGTCTGCTTCTCCCTCCCGCTCTGCCTCTCCCCTGGCTTGTGCTCACTCTCTCTCTCTCTCAAATAAATAAATAA